TTTTGAAAGCTGGGGCTATTGATTTGCCAGACTGCACATTTTGGAACTCACKGAAGCAAGCTGGGCTTAAAATTTATGCAATTGATAATAGATGATAACGACAGTAGATGAAAAGCTGACTATACTTTAAAGAACCCAAATTTCCCTTGTATCCCTAAAAGGGGTACAAAATAGGGCAGGTGGAGCCTTTCAATTAGGACTAGGAAAACACAAAGTGATCTTCATGGACATAACTCATGGCCAGAGCAGACTCTGACATACCAGCAGATGCAAGCAGAAACCTACAATTAAAGATACAATGGATGAGTTACACCTCAGCAGATGYCAGAGGATGCACTCTGGCCATATGCCCCTTTCCTCCATTGCCTAAGCACAGAATAACACCATCTGAAACTATGTCACACTGAGGAGAAAGGACAGAGTGAACTAAATGAAAAATCATTTCAAAAGCCTGGATCTACCTAGAAGTGACTCCATAGGTTCCAACATAGGGCCCCTTAGTAACAACAGGACTTGGAATAGAAATAAATTAGTGATAAAAGAAATAATGGTACATTTGCCGCACAGGGCTTGAGCAATATCAAATTCACTACAGCAATGCTTTTAATTCTGTTAAAAAGAAATGTGTGGGTTTCCACTTTTGAAAAACCAGTGGATTTTTTATTCATACTTTATGTGTTTCTATATGTGAACTAAAATATTTTACAATAATCACATATGACTTTTGAGACTGGACAAAATTTTAATGCCAATTCAATTTTTGAAAAATAAAAAAGGTCTGTGTAGGTTCAACGTTATCACCATTTCATTCCCTCAATATTGTCTATTCAGACCTGTATCCTTGTATTATAGGGTTTTGTGGGATTGATTAGTACAGTTTGTTTGTTTTTACCTGAAGGGAAATTTCACTATTTTTATGAAAATAAAACATTAAAAGAATACAAAAAAGATCTAAGCAGGAAATTCAAAATACCCGTATTTCCACCACCTCGAGAAAAAATACAATAACCCTGGTGTAAATATCTCTCACAATGTCAGGTTTAGAGCACAGATTTGGGAAAACAATCATCTTTTATTTTAGTATTAGAGATTATCTTCTTAGAGAAATTTCAAATGTTTCAGGAAAAACACATTATGTTTAAATCTGTAGAAAACCCCTTCTTATAAGTAAACATAATTTTTTGGCATCAGTAACAAAATGATTGCTTGATGTTTTAATAAGTGGATCAATATTTTGCAAACTGGAAATGGATCAATTATTTGCAAAATGTTCAAAGATAGCAATCAACTAAGTATTGTTTATGGTTATAGAAGGACCCTTAATTATCAATACCTATGACCTGAAGTATTCCYTATTTCCTCTGTAATATTTACTGAATTTTTCTGAGTCTTATATTTTTCAAATTATTTTATTATGGAATACCTCAGAATAGCATAACAAATCTTCATAAGCCATCACTTTGCCTAAGTAATTATCAGTTCAGGACCAATCTTGTTCTATCTACATCACTACTACAATCTGAATATTTCTCCCCAAAAAAACTATAGGCTGAAATTCAAACCCCAMAGTGATGCTATCAGTAGGTGAATCCTTTGGTAGATGATGAATGGAATGAGTGCCCTTTCATAAGAGACCCAGAAAGCTGCTTTGTCCTTTCCACCATTTAAGACATAGCAAGAAGRCACCCATTATTAACTACACAGAAAACAGGCCCTCACCAGACAGAATCTGCTGGGGTGTTTATCTCGAGCTTTTCAGTCTGTAGGACCATGAGAATATCAGTTTATGGCATTGTTATAGAAGTCCAGGTAGACTAAAACAATCCATAACCATTCTATAACCATTAAGAATACTGGTAAAATTTTCAAAATAAACATTTTCAGAATTCTAGAAACTAACCAACAATAATCTCAGAAAGTTTTTATTAAGAAAAATGACTTAATCTCAGAAAAATAATCTTGCAGAATTTTAATTTTCCCTTGTCACACACCCCTCTGCTCAGCTATGCAGTCACCTTGAAAACCAAAAGGTTCAGTACCACAGTGCTGTGAAAATTCTACAATGTAACTGACACTTGAGGGGTAAGAAACATTTTGAAGTTCTCAAAAAAAGCACCATTCCCAGAGAATTTTTACTGCTTAATCTGTCCAGTAGCTCCGTAGATAGACACATTTCCAGCRTTTATCTTTATTTGACCTGAGCCACAGCTAATTCATGAAGAAATATGGACAGAGGCATGTACAAAAGGAGACAATGTGAAGACATAGGGAGAAAATGATCATCAACAAGCCAAGAAGATAGGCTGGGAAAAGATCTTTCCTTCACGGTCTTCTAAAGGAACAGCACTGTTGATACCTTGATCTCAAGTGTAAAGCATCCAGAACTGTGAGAAAATGTCTACTGTATAAGCTACCTAATCTGTGACACTTTCTTATGATAGCTCTAACAAACCAATATAAACTGAAATGAAAAACTCACAAGTGGAGGTCAAGAATATATTTGAACTGGCTGAAGAAAAGCTCAGCAAACTTGAAAATAGATCAATTGAGATGATCTAGTCTAGAGTACAAAAAAAAGAAAAACAAGAAAAGAACAAAGAAAAATGGACAGAACTTCAAATAACACCAACATATACATAATGAGAGTGTCAGAAGAAGAGAGAAAAGGAAAGAGAGAATAGGTAAAGAAACCATGGCTGAAGAGTTCCAAAATTAGATAGGAAATACACAGTCAAAATGCTCAACAAACTCTAAGTAGGATAGACTCAGAGATCAACTCCTATATACATTACAAGCATACTATCAAAAGGTGAAAAACAAAGAGAAAAATCTTGAAAGTAGCAACAGAAACACAACTAAGGACATACTCAGAATTTTTAGAGTTAGAAGGTAGTGGGAAGGTATATACACATAGAACTGAAGGAAAGGATTGTCAGATGATACTTCCATATCCAGCAAATGATTCTTTCAGAATAGAGGAAAAAATTAAGAAATCCCAAGGGGTAAAAAACTAACAATGCATTGCTAGATGTTTTGTCAAATAAAAAATACTAAAAGGAGTCCGTCAGGCTGAAATCAAGGAAGACTAGGCAATAATTCAAATCCACACAAAGGAATAAAGATTACAATAATGGTACTACTTATTAAATATAAAATATATCATAAGTTCAGTTTTGTTGTAATTCTCTTTCTCTCACATATGTTTCAACTGACAACTGCATAAATAAAACTTTTGTTGATGGGCTTGTTATGTATAAAACAGTAATTTGTACGGCAATAATTGCACAGAGGAGAGAATACAGCTACACTAAAATAGAGTTTTGTTTGAAATTATGTTATTAGTCGACTTTTTAAATTTTTAACTGAAATGTTGATTAYATTGCCCAATGCATATGATAACAAAATATCTCAAAATATAGTGAAAGAAGCAAAAGGAAGTAAAMTAGCACACTGAGAAATATAAATTTAGCACAAAATGTGATCATGTAAGAAGAGGAAAACAAAAAGATAATAGACATGCAATCAATAGCAAGATGACAAATGTAAATGCTACCTTACCATTAATTATATTAAATATAAAGGGATTAAATACTCCAATTAAAAGGCAGAGATTATCGAAATGGATGAGAAAGAAATGGAAAAACATGCTATATACAACATACACATTTTAATATCAAAAGCACATATAAGTCTGAAGAAAAAATGGAAAGTATATATCATAAGAGAGTGACCAAAAAAGTTAGTAAAAGTGGCTATACTAATATCAAACAAAATAGGTTAGAACGAAATCTTTTCTAGAGACAAATAGCTATAAAACAATATTGTTTTGTAAAATTTTTATGGATAATCTGTGTGTGTGTGTGTGTGTGTGTGTGTGTGTGTTTGTGTGTGTGTGATACTAGGGATTGAACCCAGGGGTGCTTGACTACTGAGCCACATCCCCAGCCCTTTTTATATATATATATTTTATTTAGAGAGAGAATCTCTCTGCGTTGCTTAGGACCTCACTAAATTGTTGAGGTTGGCTTTGAACTCAGGATCCTTCTCAGCCTCTGGAGCCATTGTGATTAGAAAGGATCTAATAACCCTTTCTTTTATTGATTGTACCTAGCAAAAACCCATATTTTATAATGATAAAAAGAGCAACCCAGCAGGAAAATACGACAATCATAAAACTGTACCTAACAATGGAACTCTGAAATGCATGAAAAAAAAAYACTGACGGAACTGAAAGGAGCCATAGGCAATTCAAAAATAATCACTGGAGGGCTGAGGTTGTGACTCAGTGGTAGAGCATCTGCCTAGCACAGGCGAGGCCCTGGGTTCAATCCTCAGCACCACATACAATATATAAATAAAATAAAGGTATGGTGTTCAACTACAACTAAAAAAAAGATATATTTAAAATAAAAATTATAAAAATAATCATTATAAATTCCAATATCCCTTCATGGATACAACAAGTAGGCAGAGATCAACTAGGGAACTGAAGACTGACCAGTTATCACAAACAGACTTGTAAAAAACATTTCAGAATAAAACACCAGAATACACATTMTTCTCAAGTACACATTCTCCAGTATACACCATAGGTAGAACACAAAACAAGCCTCAAACACTTACAAGGATTGAAATTCTACAAAATATGTTGTCTAGTACAATGAAATAAAATCAGAAATTTTTAAAAATCAGAAATCAATAAGAGAAAGGGTTATTAGAATTGATAAATGTGTGGCAATTAAATATCAAACAGTTAATCAGTGGGCTAAAGAGGAAATCACAAAGAAAATTAGAAAATACTGTGATTTTAGACTAGGCAAGAGGTATTTTTTAGATATGACACTAAAAAGACGTGTCAAAAGAAAACTAGATTAATTGAACATCAAAATTTTTAAATGTTATATTTCAAAGGAATATAAATATATTTCTTTATATAAATAAATATAAAATATTTATTTTCATATTTTATATTAAATATATAAATCATAAAGAAAGAAAAGGTGTTCATKCTGGCAGTATATATACGAAGATTGAAATCATTCAGAAAAGATTAGCATGGTTTGCATAAGGATGACATGCAAACKTATGAAGTGTTCCATATGAAAAAAAAGAGAAGTCTGCACAAAGGATGGTACTAAAACAAAATATACTCAAATTATATGTGTGTGTGTGTATGTGTGTGTATGATATAAGGATTTGTAGCCAAAAATTAATTATAACAACTATTTCCAGTCAACAAASAAACCAAAACAAAGATGACCCAATTAAAAATGGGCAAAGGACTTAAGTGGACATTTTMCCAATACTTTAAAAGTTGCCAATAGGCACATGAAAAGATCCTCACCATCATTAGTCATTAGAGAAATAAAATCAAAACAATAATGTGATTGCCACTTCACACCCACTAACATAGCTAAAATAAGAAAGCCAGAGTATAACAATGAATAGAGGAAAAAACAATGAAGACAAGGAGAAACTGGAAACTTCATTCAGTGCTGGTGAGATTGTGAAATGGAGCAGCTGCTGTGAAAAAGTTCAGTAGTTTCACAAAATATTAAACATAGAGCTATTATATGAYCTAGCAATTCTACTTCTAGGTATACAGTCAATACAAATGAGAACATTTGTCCACACAAAATCTCATACATGGATATTCATATATGAATTATTCATAATAACCCTAAATGTCCAACAATCAATGAATACATAAATAAAAAAGTAGTATAAACACRGTGGAATACTATTTCACCATTAAAAAGCAATGAAGTACTGGTACATACTACACCATGGATAAGCCTTAAGAGAATATTAAATGAGAGATGTCAGTAGGAGAAGACCACATATTATATGATTCCATTGGTATTCAATGTCCAAAATGCAAATACATAGAAATCTAAAGTAAATTGTTAAAAAAAAAAGAAGAAAGAAAAAGAAAGAAAGTAAATTGGCATTGGCAGGAGATGAAGATGTGGAAGAGGAAGAAGGAAAATAACTGTTAATGGCATACGATTCCTTTTTACATGACGAAAAATGTTCTAAAATTTAGGTTATGATAATCGTTGTACAATTCTGTGAATATGCTAAAAATAATTGAATTGTACAATGTAAAAGCATGCATTTTATGGTATGCAAATTATATMTCAATAAAGATGCTATTTTTMAAAATGCAGCAGCAATATTATATAGTTAATGCTTCAAAACTGGGAACAACCCAAATGACSACCAAAAAAGTAGAATAGATAAAGGCAACAACATGAGTGTTTCAATATATATAAGCAGAAGAAGCCCATTATAAGAMTACATAGTGTGGTGTAAGGAGTCATAAGAGTGAGTGCAGCAGAGCATGAGAGGGGCTTCCAGGGAACTGGTCTTATTTATTTCTTTATCTGGGTACTGGGTGCTGATTACATGAAYGTGTTTGCTTTGTAAAAAACAAACTCTTCAAGCTGCGCCCTTCTGTTATGATTCATGYACTTTCCTATGCATATTGTATTTTCAACAAGTTTCTCTTCAAAAAGTAGTATTTCTCTTCTGTACTATTTTCTAAAGTAATCAACCAGAAAATATAACAAAAAGGAATTAGATACCATTATAATTATTTAATTATGTGTGATCATTTGCTTATTCTCTAGCTCAGTGGTTCTCAACTGGGRACAATTTTGCTATTCTGGGGACATTTGGCAACATCTGGAGATATTTCTGATTGTTGCAACTGGGAATGTGCTGCTGGCATCTAGTGGGTAGAGGCCAGAAATTCTGCTAAATATTCTACAATGCCCAGGGCAGCCCCACAACAAAAAAATTATCTAATCTAAAATGCCAATAGTATCAAAAAGCATGCTCATCCAATAGCTATAAATTCTAGATGTAAAAATATAAACCACATGATCCATCAGGAGCCTGATTATCTGGTTTATAGTTTTATATCTAGAACCCATCAGAGTACCTGGCACATAATAGGCTCTTGATAAAAAATTTGTTGAACAAATGAACCTGTTTCTTTTACTCTGTATCTCTGGATAGATATACATATACAGTAATATAGATATATATATATATATAGAGAGAGAGAGAGAAATATATCACACACACACACACACACACACACACACATCCATCTTATGTCTTGTACCTTATAGTTTTCTTGTTCTATTGGGCATAAATATACTGCATACTTTGAAAGAACTTGCCTTAGGAAAACCAGATTCCAGGGATCACCCAGGAGAAAGAAGGCATGAAGCAGATCACTCTGACCTAACGTGAAGCCTAAGAAAAAAATAAATAAATAGAAATTTGGGGCTAAAGCCTGACATAAAATTTAAATGTTTTTTTTCCCCAGAGAGTTTTCTATGCTTTTAATCATATGCTTCAGGAATTTAGAATAATTGATTACAGTTTCAGTAGATGGGTGGCTGCCTGAAGAATCCAGGATCATCGCCATTTCTCCCCAACTGATATTCTGCACCTCACATTTTGAGACAAATTTTTTGGTCTTAATCTTTAAATATTTTGTGAGATCCTAAATAGCATTCAGAAGACACAGACAGTCAGCAAAGCAGCTTAATAAATGTCTCCCAAATTATTTGTATGAGTTTGGACAAGTCAGTTAATATTGCAGACTTGAGTTTTCTCATCTGCAAATTATGTGAATTAGACTAAACAATCTCAAGGCCCTTTCACCTAAAATTTGATGATTCAATGATTGAAAAAGGCAGAAATTGTGAGCTCTAATGAGGTGATATTTTGAGTGTTGCCAAATCACAGGGTTTCTCTACATCGTCTCCCTATTAGAGCAGAATGCAACAGCTTCACTTGATACCACCAACAGGTGTGTAATTAAGCCTGATCTTTCTCCAGCATAGTTCATTTTCCACTGATGGGTCTACAATTAAAACAACTCCCTCCCCAGAGAAGGATACATCAGTGTTACACTTTTCATCTTTAATTACACTGGTTGAAGATGAGTAAATGCGCCAGAGATCCCAATTGGGAGGGAGTAGATTCATTAGGTGGTTGGTAATATGCCATCTAGTCTGCATTTCAGGTTACTGTCTGCACGATGAAGATGGCCTTCAACCAATCAGCTCAAATATCCCAGTGATTAAGTCCTTCCGCTGCTGCCTACCTGTGCACTGCAGAAGTAATTGAGGAATATTAAAGATCTGGACCCCTCTAAAAGATAAGTACAGTGTCAAAGCCAAAGCTAATTTACTACTTCAGTGATTTTTAGTAGAAGGGCCAAAATGGCTTATTAATGCTTTATACAAGAGGAGGGAGAGTTTCCAAATTTTCATATTACCACCACCTTCTCAGTAGACCTCTATCACAACTTGCACTCACTCTCGCTTGCTCGCTCGCTCTCTCTCTCTTTGCCCTAATACAACCTCATGTCATCTATTTTTCGTTTACTTGCTCATTGTCTAGCTCCCTTGATTGAAATTTCAGTTCGGCATTTTGGGGGGAAAGGCATCAGTTTCACCAAAACATATTACCACTTGGAGCACAGTGACTGACCCTTGGCACCTACTAAACACTTGCTAAATGAATAAATAAATATTGATTCAGAATGTTTCTTTTA